TACATATACAAAGCTCACAACCACCCCCCATGCCTGCCTCTGCTGCCTGCACTCAGTTTCTGTGGTCCTTGCACCTCCCCTTCCCAATTTGGCTCTGCTTCTTGGTTTGGCTTTAACAGCCTGCCTAGTGCATGCCTCTGTAGCTCCTAGGTCCTGATCTGAGAGAGTGTGCATCTGGCCGAGTGCTTTCAGAGGGAGCATGAGGAGCCTGCCCTGCCCTCTCTTGGCCCCTTATTGGGAGACGCCCTTTGGCTGTGATGGATATCCTTACTTTAATGCGGTTGCTGGACACAGCATATTGGATTCCACCTTATAATAATCTGTAGATCTGTGAGTCTGAGCAGTTGATGCCTAACTGCCACTGTCACTGCATTAGGCTGTCAGCTTTCTCAAAGACCTTTCCTAATGCATGGACATTCAAGTCAGTCTGTTTTTATTTTATTTTGTTATTACTTTTTAGAGACAGGGTCTCTCTCACCCCAGCCGGAGTGCAGTGGCATGACCATGGCTCACTCAAGCCTCCAACTCCTGGTCTCAAGCAATTCTCCTGCCTCAGCCTCCCAAAGTGCTGAGATTACTGGCATGTACTTTTTTGACACTTCTCCAGTTGTGTTTGGCAGCTTCCTTCTTCCAGACTGACTTATCTTCAGAACCTTCATCACCATCTGGTGTTATGGTCTATGTGTTGATACCATTTTTACATCACCCCAGCCTATTTGAATATGAGGTCCATGAGAGGGAAAGGAGAGAAATCGTGTTTACTTTGTCCACCCCTGTAGCACCAGTGCCTGCAACAATGCCTGGCGCATAGATTATCCATAAATATTTGAAAAATGAATACATGAGACAATTGGGAAAAGAAAATGAGAAACTGAGAAACATTTGGTGTGCACATATAATAATGATAATAATAACGATAATAATAATAGTAATAATACAGATGCTCCTCAGCTTACGATGCGATTACGTCACAATGAACTGGGGGTCAATGGAAAATATCTTAAGTAGAAAGTGCATGTGATGCATCTGACTTGCTGAATATCCTAGCTCAGCCTAACCCACCTCACCCATGTTCAGAGTGTCTACATTCGCCTTCAGTTGGGCAAAGTCATCTCACACAAAGCTTATCTTATAATCAAGTGTTGAATATCTCAGATAATTTATTTAATATGGTTGAAAGTGAAAAACAGAACAGTTGTGTGTGTTCTCCAGCTACCATTTCTTTCTTTTTTTTTTTTTTGTAAGACAAGGTCTTGCTCTGTGGCAGCCTTGACCTCCGAGACTCAAGCTATCTTCCTATCTTAGTCTCCCGAGCAACTGAGACCACAGGTGCCCGCCGCCACCATGCTTGGCTAATTTTTATATTTTTGGTAGAAATGAGGTTTCACCATGTTGCCCAGGCTGGTCTCGAACTCCTGGCCTCAAGGGATCCACCCCGCTCGGCCTCCCAGACTTGTGGGATTACAGACATGAACCACTATGCCTGGCCTCAAAGTACTGTTGCTATTGAGTGTGTATTGCTTTCACACCACAGTAAGTTTGAAAAGTCTAAGTCAAACCATTGTACGTCAGGAACTGTCAGTGTAAAAAAGGTGTATGATTTTGAGAAAAAGGGAGGCAGAGGAGTTGGGAAGAGAGGTTATAGGACTGATGAAAGATAGTGAAACCAATACAGCTATAACAAAACACTGAATCAAAGGGAACCAAGACTGTGGTGGGCAGAAGCCAGGAAGGGACTGGGCCAAGCTGAGAGGGAAAGGAAAAGGGAGTTCCCTCTGCTCCTCCTCGCTCAGTCAGGCCTGTGGGTGCAGGGCAGGACACTAGGCCCCCTGCCGTGCAGAATGCTCTGTGTTGGTTTTCTCCTTTCCTCCTTCCCTGGACTCTGGCATCTTTGCCAAGTCTGGGATGAAGTGGGTGAGAGGAACGCCTTTTCCTCATGAGCTTCCCTGAGGCCTCTCTTTCTCCACATGAAGTTTCAAAAGTCTATTTTGGGATGCAAAGGCTGAGAACTCCAACACTAGGTCTCCCCTCCTCTCCCAGCCAACATTCGAGAGCTGGTAAGACAAGACCTCGAGTAACTGCCGAAATGAAATAAGGCCATGGGGAAAGATGGAATGATAAACATGTCGGTTCAGATCAACATGCTGTCTCACCACTTGGGTGTTTGTTAGGAAATGAATGTGTTTGTTCTTCTCCGTCAATCAGGAGCAGCAGGGAACCTGGAGGGGTGGAGGGATGGTCAGCTGGCTTGTTTTGAAGAAAAAGGCCAGTGAGAGGGGAAGTTCAAGGCCTCTAGTCAAGTCACCCATGCTTTCTCCCAGGCCCTCATCTCTGTGCCGTTCCCACACAGTCTTGCCCAACCTCCCCATTCTGTGCCAGCAGATCTGGGTGCTTATGCCTGGCTTGGGGAAGTGTCTGCCTGGGAGGGGAAAGGGTGTGGGGACTTCACTTGTATGCACAGTACAGCAGATTCCACAGAGCCTCTGGAGCCCAGGGTTTTTATCATTATGTTTCTTGACTTATGTAAAAATTGTACTTTGTTGCTTTTTTATTTGCTTGTTACTTGCAGCCATTTTTCCAAATGGCTGTTGTTCTTGAATGTTAGCTGTGCTCACACTTTCCTCATTATTGGTTCCTTAGTGAGCTTTCCTTTTCTTTATCCCTTCCTCCCTCCCTCTCTCCCTCCCTCCTTCCTTCCTTCCCTCCCTCCCTCCCTCCTTCCTTCCTTCCCTCCCTCCTTCCTTCCTTCCTTCCGTCCCTCCTTCCCCTCCCTCCCTCCCACCTTTCCTTCCTTCATCTTTTAAACAAGATCTTGCTCTGTTGCCCAGGTTGGAGTGCAGTAAGTAGTGTGATCTTGGCTCACTACCGCCTCAATTTCCTGGACTCAAGAGGTCTTCCTACCTCAGCCTCCTGAATGGCTGAGACCACAAACACTCACCACCATGCTCAGCTATTTTGTTTTTTTCTAGAAACAGGGTCTTGTTCTCTTGTCCAGGCTGGTCTCAAACTCCTGGTCTCAAGCAATTCTCCTGCCTTGGTCTCCCTAAAGTTCTGGGATTACAGACATGAGCCACTGCACCTAGCCTGTCCACTATATTTTTTGTTTTTAAAATATTTGTCCTTTCTTTCTTTTTTTAGGCCTCGATGTATAACTGTTATTTTCTAGATTTGATCTGAGATGGAATCATGGCTCTTCTTTGTATTTTGGAATGAAAGAGAGGTGTGAGCCAGGGTAAGATTCTGCAGGAAGAACGTTACTGGGCTGAGGCAAGGATGTGAGACACAGTCCAGTTGCTACTCTGAAACCTGTCCTTGAGGTTGCTGAGGAGTCTGGTGCCATGATTCCATGGAGGGTGGTGTTTACACCTTGGGAGTCCATACGGCTGAACTACAAAAGCAGCATGTGACCCTGGTCTTTGCTTATCATATAACAGCAGAAGTACAATACGGAGAATCTTTCTTTGCAGGCTGTATGGATCTTACCTTTTATGGTAGCTCTGTTGCATTCTCTAGCAAAGTGTTTTCAAAACCTTCTTGACCGGTGACATACTGATAAGCATCTAGATCATACAAGTGGTTTTCTATTGCAAACAATATGACCCCAACACAGATTACACGTATACCTCTGTGCACTGACTGAATTGATACAGGCTAGATTCCTAGAACTGATGTCTCTATCAAAGGAAACACGCTTTTGAATTTGAATAGATGAAGTCCTTCCAAAATGCTGTGCCACTGCATGGAGTTTGTATCTGCCACCGCATGGAGTGAGCTATGTCCCTACATCCAAACCAATAAGATAATATCCATTTGTCTCTTTTGCTCATCTGATGGGGAAAACTGGTACTTCATGGTTCCTAAATAATTTTGAACAGTAGGGGATTTTGACTTTGAAGCTTCCTTCCTTCCCAGAGTTTTCATAATGACAACATGGAAAGTAGACTAAAGGGAAGATAATGAGGGTGGGATGTACATCAGAGAGGACAAAGGAAGAAACTCATTATCCAGGTAGGAGGAAAAGAGGGCAGGATTTAGCGTGTAAGGGAAGACGTAAGAAACTTGCAGGGAGCCATCTCCTTGCCAGTGCCTTCTCTCCATGCCCATCATGACTTTTTGCAAGTTTTGTTGTTGTTGTTGTTTGTTTGTTTGTTTTTAGAGATAGGGTCTCTCTCTGATACCCAGGCTGGAGTGCAGAGGCCTGATCCTAGCTCACCAGTCTTGAACTCCTGGGCTCAAGCAAACAAACTCCTGCCTCAGTCTTCTGAGTAGCTGGGACTACATGGACATGCCACCATGGCTTGATAATTTAAAACAATTTGGTTTTTGTTTGTTTTTTAGAGACAGAGTCTCATTATGTGGCTTAGGCTGGTCTCAAACTCCTGGTCTCAAGTGACCCCCAGCCTCAGCCTCCGGAGTAGCTGGGTCTATAGGTGCAAGCCATCATGCTCGGCTTACCTTTTGCAAATGTGAGTACAGATGCCCTTCTGAGACTTAGCTGCAGAGTGGCATGCACAGGAAGGAAGACCTAAGGCTTGATCTCTTCCGAGGCATCCAGCCTCTGAGAGATTCACATCAACCACTAAGGTCACCTGCTGCCCCCACAGTCCTGTGGAACTAAGTGTGAAGAGCTTTTGATCTTGGGTGGAAATAAGGCAGAATTTATTATGTCACAAGAATCTTTTTTTTTTGTTTTGTTTTAAGACGGAGTCTCGTTCTGTTGCCCAGGCTGCAGGGCAGTAGTGCAATCTCAGCTCACTGCAAGCTCCGCCTCCTGGGTTCACGCTATTCTCCTGCCTCAGGCTCCCAAGTAGCTGGGACTACAGACACCCGCCACCACGGCTAATTTATTGTATTTTTAATAGAGACAGGGTTTCATCGTGTTAGCCGGGATGGTCTTGATTTCCTGACCTCGTGATCCACCCGCCTCAGCCTCCCAAAGTGCTGGGATTACAGGCGTGAGCCACCGCGCCTGACCACTAGAATCTTTTTAAGGTCTCCAAGGCAGAGGAACATGTGCAGATTCATAAGTTGCCAAGATTTAAGAAAAAAGAAAAGTTAGTTATGTGGAAAATTCAGATAGGATCCTAAAACTACTACCTTCAATTTACTGCTTTTGAGTTGGGAAAGGAAATAAAGGATTTGGAAGCATTAGGGGGAAGGTGTTTAGGCTAGAATGGAAATGCTTATTCATATTGTTTCTGCATTGGGTGGACCAAGCTATGAGCCACGTCTGTCTTTGTAGGAATAAGAAATCATGAGATGGTCAAATTACGCGGCTGGCATTTCTGCATAACATACCTCCCACTTAATGGGCACATAACAATTTCTCTAACACATTCTATTTATCAACAAAATCTCATTTAAAAAAAAATATTTTATCTTTTTACAGCAGTTTTAGATTCACAGCAAGATAGCAAGAAGAGCAGAGGGTCCTCACACAAGCATAGCCTCCCCGGCCGTCCACATTCCCAGCAGAGTGGCACCTTTCTTTATGATTGATGAAGTCACATCGATACATCGTTACACAGAGACCACAGTTTACATTATGCTTCACTCTTGGTGTTGTATATTGTGTGGGTTTGGACCAATGTATAATGCCCTGTATCCACTGTTGCAGTATTGTACAGAGTAGTTTCACTGCCCTAAAAATCCCGTGCTCCTCCTACCCATCCCTCTCTCTCCTCTAGCCCCCAGGAACCACTGATCGTTTTCCTGTCTCCATTGTTTTGCCTTTTCCAGAATGTCGTTCAGTTGGAACCATACAGCGGGTAGCCTCTTCGGATTGACTTCTTTGACTCTGTGACATGTGTGTCACTTTCCTCCATGTGTTTCCATGGCTTGATAGCTCATTTCATTTTACTACCGAATAATATTGCATTCTCTGAATGTACCACAGTTTATTTTGCCACCCGCTTGCTGAAAGACATGGTGGTTGCTTCCCAGTTTTGGCAGTTATGAATAAAGCTGCTATAAACATCCCTGTGCAAGTTTTTGTCTGGACACAAAGCTTTTACCCATTTCATGTATTCATTTGCATGGCTGCTGCTTTTCAGTGCCAGGGGCAAGTGGGTGGGGATTTTGTGGGGGCTGTGTGTTTTGGCTGCGAAAGACATCTAGCAGTCCTAGTAATGCCCTAGCTCCCATGAGCAGTGCTTCCTAAGGGCTCAGAGAGAGAGAGAGAGAGAGAGAGAGAGACTTTGGGGCTATTCAGTACTGAAAAGGCAAGAGGTAACTCAAGCTGTAGCAACACATTTCACTGCAGTTGCATGCCGGCAGCCAGGGACAATGCCAGCTGAAGTGGATGCAGCCAGGGGATGTCTGAAGAGCAGCCAGGCTCATAAATTTGAAGAATGGAAAAGAATTGCGATGGCAACAAAATATTTCTCTGTAAAGTAGCCAGGCATAAGTCTTATACAGCAGTGACTTTCAAACTTTAGAAACTCTATTAACACTCCTCAACTAGAAGGCTGCTGTGAGCTCCTGAAGAGGCACAGGCCACCCTCAGATCTCTGTGTTCATAAAAGATGCCCCGACTTTCTCTCAGGACCCGTCTCCCTGGGGGCGGGGGCTGGGTGCAGAATTTAACATTGTATGATACTTTTTTTCCAAAAGAAATACAAAACTCAAGAGAATAATATAACAACTTCAACATAACCCCTGCCCAGATTCCTCTTTCCTTTTTACAATTGCATTGCACACATAATGTATTCCATCAGTTTCCTGCTGTTTTGACATGTGGGCTGTCCCTGGCTGGCCTTTGGCTGCAGTGAGTAGATACCCTTTTGCCTACATGTTTGCACATTTTTGCAAATGTAGCTTTAAGTTAGATTCCAGGAAGTGTGTTTGCAGGGTCATGAGTAAGCGCATATGCAGTTTTGCTCACCGTTGTGCAGTGCCGCCCTCAATATCTGAGGATGCCTGCTTCTCAGGGCCTCTCAGCATCATTTGTCATCAGTGTTTGCATTTGTCAACCTGGTAAGTGAGAAATGATATCTCAGTTTAGTTTCAATTTGTATTTCTTCTATTTTGTTTGACATTGATCATATTTTCATATGGTTAAGGGCTATTTACAGCTTTCCCCCTGGGAACTCACTCTTTATTTAGATGTCTTGCCCATCTTTCTATTATTGGTCTTTCATTGCTTCTAAAATTTGAATTTCTACTTTATTTTTAATTTTTTTCTTACTTGTCACTGACTTGAAGCTCATACATTTTGAATTTTGAGTCATAATTAGGAAGTTCGAATTTTGAGCTATATTTAGGGAGATTTTCTTACTCCAGATGATAAAGAAGTTTACTTATATTTTCTTCTAGATTTTAGATAGTCTTAATATTCTACATTTAGATTTTTAAAGATATATTAAATTGGGATAGGGTCTCACTTTATTGCCCAGGCTGGCCTCGAACTCCTGGCCTCATGGGATCCTCCCTTCTCGGCCTCCCAAAGTGCTGGGATTACAGGCATGAGCCACTGCACTTGGTTTACATTTAGATTTTTGTTACATTTGTAATATACTGTTCTAGTGTGGAGAGTAAGGTATGGATTTAATTTTACTTCTAAATAGCTATCTGTCCCCAAAATATTTATTTGAGGATTCCATCTTTTATTTGCTGACTTTGGGTCTGTATCATTTGCTCTATCTCCATGGGTACCTGGCTGTATTTCAGCTCTTTACATTCTGTTTCACTGGTCTGCCATCCTTTTATTTGCTAATAAAATAAATTAGCAAATTTAATTAAGGAAGCTTCAGAGAGAGCTGGTCAGGAGTAGAGAGGAGCAAACACATTTTTCCATTCGGGCACTCCTGACTCACTTGAATTCCAGCAGAGCACAGGCTGTGCCAACTCTCTGCCTGCGCTTTTAGACCCTGTGGCTGCACAAAAAACTCAGGAATAAAAATGGAGACAGTGAGCCTTCAGGCTGAAATTACGAGAAAACCCCAGGAAGTAAAGAAGGAAAAAGAAACCAAGGAACCAGAAAAACCAACAGATGCAGTCAATTAAAACCAAGAGTGACCAGGAGATCCAGCGTTTCTTAAAAGAATGGAGATTTCTTGAATGCAAACAGTTGAGGAAGAGGATCGTGAATGGTCCAAGACAATGGCCCAGCGCCTCCAGCAGAGAGGCACCAACAGGAGCTGGTAACAATGTCTACAGGTGCTGGAAAGAGCAGGACTCACACTGGGCCACTCATGAGGCCAGCAGTGGGCCAATGAGCCAGCCCTGGCCCTGTCCTCATGGAGAGGCCCTGCCAGGATTCTGGGATACAGATGGAAGGACAAGGTCTTTTCAGGTCCTCTCAGTGCAGATATGGTTGTTCCTGCAATTCCCGATACCAGTTCCGGGTCTGTCATCCCCATTGCTTTAAGGGGCTGCTGTCAGCCCCCATGCACGATCTCCATGGAGGATCCTCAGATACCCAAATGGGAGTCCTGAAACATGAACCTAAGGGTCAGCCCCGTGCCTTTTTTCTCCTGCTGTTTTCCCAGCTGCCCCCAGCCCCCAGCAGCAACAGCCAACTTCTTCTGACTCCCCTCCAGATCCTGAACTTGGAGACAATTAGAACCTGGATCTTAATTCTTCCTGAAAGTAAGGCAATAGCACAATCTATACACTGGTGCATGACTCCTCCTCTCATTACATTATCCCAATGTAATGAGGATAAGATGAAAAATAAATGAATGAGCACAATCTAAAAAAAAAGAAAGAACTCTATATTTTAATATCTGACAGGGCTAGTCCTTTGTTATTTCTTCCAGAGTTTTTCTGGTGACTTTTACTTGTTTATATTTCCATATGAACATTATGATCAACTTGTACATTCAGGTCTTCTATAATCACTGGGTTGCTTTCTGAAGGCAGAGTGTCTGGAATCCCACAGGTACAGAGAGCAGCCTCCTGGGTGTGAGTTAATTTGCATTTATACCTGTCTTCCTTTACCATTGGTCAATAACCTAGGCACAAAGCTAAGTTGAAAAGTACTACCCTAGGTAGCTTTACAATCTAATGAAGAATGAGCACAAAGTACTACAACACAAGGAAGAAACCCTAAGTTCCTAGAGGGCAGGAACCGTTTCATAGAAAGTGCCTAAACATCGGTGCTGGAGCTGGATTAATCGCCAAGGTCCAGTAAAACGCTGAATTACATTAAATGAATGAGTGTGATCAATGCTAGATTGGAATCCCATGTCAAGGGGGAACAGAAGAAGATGTTCACTTGGAATTCAAAGCTTTTCACAAGGAGGTGGCATTTGCGATTGGTGTTGAAGAGTTATCAGATTCTAGTAGCTGCAAGAGGCTGTGTGGAGGAGAAAAAGCCAGACAGGGAATGCCATGTGTGAAGAGCAGAAGGCAAGGAGGCGTGTGGTGGGTTTGTGGGACAGTGATGAGTTTTGGTGCTGGAACAAATAATGTTGGGGTAGAAAAGGGGTGCCGTGGATACCACAGGAAACGAGACTGAAAATGAGGGCTGGACTCAGAAGACGGGAGAACATAAGACATTTGGGATTTTTACAGCTATGGAAATAATGAACCTTTGAAATCTTGGGGCAGGAGGGAGATAAACATTGGTAACGGTTAATGTACATACAAAGAGTTACGATTAGTTGATTTCAGATGTAATAAGTGATTCTTCATCATTTCAGTTGAAAATATGTTAAAAATGTCATCAACTAGTTGGGATCCTTAGAGCCTCATACTCCAAGTTAACCTGGTTCGTGTTCAAAGTAGAAAACCTCACCCTGGTGTTCTTTAAAATAAAGTTAAATGAGTAAATTTATATCTAGCTTGGATTCTTCATGCAGCACTTCTAGAGAACCGGAGTGTAACACTACCAGAACCTGTGAGCTGATCTAGGCGCACCTAACATAGTTTTGTTATTGTATGAATTCCAAATTCTATGTTTTAAGTTATCACGTGATAAAAAGTGGCAATCCTTTAAAGGAATGTCATCTTTTATGCTTTAAAATTCTCAAAGCCTGCCTTCCCCGCTGCCCTCCCCACCAATCCTCACTACCACAAAGGGATCAATTTTTTACTGTTGTGTAATTAGAGGAAAAAAAATGTTCTTAATTTCCTTCTCTCCCAAGAGAAAATATGGTGTTCCAAACCACAAGAGTTTACTGCATTTGACCTTCATATTTTCTATTTATTAATCACAGAAGTATACATTTCACTAAAAACTATAAGCAAATTATTGTTTTACCTGTAATTGTTTCCCAGGGCAGCTGTGACTAGCTAAGCACTGCATGGAGCTCCTGCTGACTGATGTGTGCTCTCCATGAGGATGGGACAGGCAAGGAAGAGGGACCTGCTCACTCACTGTGCTCCCGGGCCGTGGGCTTGGAATGGAAGACAGGGCAGGGGCAGAGAACAGCTGAAGAAAACAGAAAGATGAAACTTTACAACTAGAAAATTAAAAAAAGTTGCATGTTAACTTAAGCACTGGGAATTCAAATCGAAATGATCACAAAGGAGTGTTATTATTTCAAAGTCCACTTGTACATTTACCCTGTATCCTGCAACCTTGCTATGATCACTCACTAGTCTCAGAAGTTTTTTCCCAATGTGCATACCTTTATTTTATTTTGTCGTCTAATTGCATTAGCTGGGACTTCCAGGATGATACAGAAAAGCAGAGGTGAGTGGGGACATCCTTGCTTTTCCTGAACTTAGTGGGAAAGCTTCTCGTTTCTCGCCATTAATATGTTACCTGCAGGCTTTTTGTAGATATTGTTTACCAAGTTGAGGAAGTTCCTCTCTATTCCTAGTATGCTGAGGGTTTTTTTAAAATCATGAATGAGTGTTGGACTTTGTCAAATACTTTGTCTGCATCTATAATACAACCATGAGATTTTTCTTCTTAGCCTGTTGATGTGATGGATTACATTAATTGACTTTTAAATGTTGACGTGGCCTTGCATACCTGGGATAAATCCCACTTGGCTGTGGTGTATAATTCTTTTTAAACATTGTTGGGGTCAGAGGAATATTATTATTATTGTATTTAATAAACATCATACCAATAGCTCAAGTGAACTATGTAACAGGTGGGAGTGCTACTGAGTCCAACACATGGTAGAGCTGAGAACAAAATAACAGCAAGGAAGCTTCATTCTAAATCAGCATCCAAAAGCACATATGTAAGAATGATAGAAATACTGAGAAGTAGTTTCTTTTGGAAAAGACTTTTGAAAAACTTTCCGTATCTGAACTAAAGTGACTTCAACTCTTCTAACAGGGCAGCCTCTCCCAGCCTCACTGCCAGGTGGCAACCACATTCCTGATCTCAAGGCTGCTGGGGTAGGAGTGTTTGGTGACCAGGGTGCCCATGGTCTGCAATACTAGAGCCAACCCCAGGTGGCCATCGGGTGTAACACAGGCGGCGAGCCATGCTAGCACCACTGGGCTCTGTGGTCCAAGGAAAGTTCCTTCTGTGTTCCTTGTAGACTTGCAATGTGAGGAAGGCCCTGCTGCGTCCAGGTCAGACTCACAGGGGACCAGGGAGGGTGCATCATAAAATTTTTAAAAGAGAAATAAATCACTCAATTTTCCCTGGAATGTAATTAAAATATGAACTGAGATAACAGCAAAGATGAATTGGAAACAAATTCTTCCATAGTAATCTAATTTTTAATAATCTCATGCTTTTGCATTTGTGCCAGAAGGAAATAATCTCCTTGATTCTCAGAATCACTGTGCTGTTTCCTTTTCCTCTCTTCCTCCCTCCCTCCTTTTTCTTCGATAAGATCATGTTTTCCAGAGCAGACATTGTTTAAATTGACATCTATTTTGTCACAATGATGTTTCCATCTTTCAGTTCCACAGCAGGATAAAAGAATAAAGGGGGTCCTCTGAAGCAACCACCTTTCTCCTTTGAAGGGTTATGTACCAATGATTTAAATCAAAGTCATTTTTTCCTTTGATATTTATCAAGATGAACTTTGACCCACCTACACTGATATTCCATAGCAGCTTTCTTTTCCAACCATTGACACTCCTGTTAGATCAGAAAGGAAAACTTTCCATTTTATCGCAATCACCTGATTTATCACCAGCTGGTATCTTCTCATCTTTTCAAAGTGGGGAAAACTCCTGTTGCTCATTTTGGCAGCAGCTAGAGCTCTGGTCTTGATCTCTGTTCTCTCTATAGGCCCAGTTCTGAATCCAGCAATCATGGGCTGTTTGGGAATCTCTGGAGTTATTATCCAACTCTTCCTCGTGTTGAAGATGTCCTTACATCTCTAGTTGTAGATCAGTGTTCCTAACAATGTGACTTTTTACTTCTTTTTCCTCACAGAAAATGAAGGCACTAGTTACCAAGGACAGATATTTATAAAAAATATTTGGTGACTGAGTCCAGTCTCTCTCCCTCAGTGGAAGCCTCCATTGCAGTTGAAAAAAAAAAAAAAAAAAGAAAAAAAAAAAAAAGAAAGAAAAGAAAAAGAAAGACAACAATTGTTTATTTGGTGCTGGGTTGACACAAAGTACCCTCTGGAGAACATTCTCCTGCAAAGGCACCCAGAAAAGAGAATGCACGCAGGGATGTGAATGTGGCCCCAACCACAGCATTCACCTGATCCAATCAGACAGTACAATGAAGGACTCAGTAGCCTCACTGCCTTTTCTTCGAATCTGGGCAAAGTTCTAATATATTTGGTATTGAGTCTTCCCAAGAATAGTAGATGATAAACAGGAAAATTATCTGAGAGAGTTAGAGTATTCTGCCTGCTGCCGAAATTGACGACTTGGTTGGGTGCAGCGGCTCGCACCTGTCATACCAGTGCTTTGGGAGGCTGAGACAGGAGGGTCCCCTGAGGAAAAACATTTGAGAACAGCCTGGGACAACATAGTAAGACCTTGCCTCTACAAAAATGTAAAAATAAAAGAGCACTGACTGCAGACAGGCCGCCATCCACGGAGTAGTCCGAAAGACCAGGAAAAGCCATCAGGCAGGGTTCACTGGCATTGAACCAGAGGCCTTCATGAAGGAAGAGACTGTCCTCCATGCTCCACTGGCTCCTGAGGACACCCCAGAAGTGGTATCCAACCTCAACACCCGGGGAAACCTGCCAACACCAGCCACACAAGCATGGAGAACCTTGGGGTGCACGCAACTGTGTAGATGGTCATTCTAACAGCTAGCATCCACTTAGCGCATGCCGTGTGCTATGTTCTTTCTTGTGCTGCATTTTACCATTTAATCATCCAATCAAATCCAGAAGGTAGGGACCACTCTCCTTTCCTTTCTACAGCTTGGAGAGCTGAGCTAGATTCCCCCAAGGGCACACAGCGAGGAAGTAATGGACAGAGGTCAGACCTAGGCCTCTTTGCTCCTCAACAGCCTTGTGCGACAGTGGTCAGAGTCCTGCCATTGCATCCCCATGCACCCTGGCTGAAGTCTCAGGTCCATCTTAACCCTCTTGGATCAGCATCTCTGAAAGCGGGGCCTGGGCTCTGTGTCCACTATAGGCCCTCTGAGTACTGAGAACCACGTGCAGGCCATGGTCTCTGCTTCCCCAGGGAAGGCATGGAATTTCCACCTACTGAATGCAAGAGGGTGTCTAAGCCCTCAGCCAACACCCAAGCCCCAGCTCTCAAGAGACAAGGTGGGTAGAGGCAGTGGGTGCAGAGACAATGATGGCCACAGTCGGCAGGGCCCTTGCAGCTCTGTCGTCTCCTCCAGGAGACTCAATGAAATGACAGAAAAGAGACTTTCAAAAGAAAGAAAACACACAGATGCAGGAACACAGAAAAGGGGCATCAGTGGGCCACAAATTTTGAGGAAATCTTGAGAGGACTTTGAGAGTGGGGTTGAGTGTTTAAGCAGGAGGTAAACTGTAGTCTGAAGGTGAGAAGGTCAGCAGGGTTTTTCCCTGGGAGACATGAGAAATAAGCCGGGGTCTTTCAGGGCAAAGAGCAGCAGTGGTGGGGGGATCTGGTGAATCACTGCGTGGGCTCACTGAAGGCGCTGGGTCCTTGCTTTCCACCCTTTGCCCTTGGTCCTGATGGGGCACAGCTGACCGTGCTGGGGACAAGGCTCCCACGGCCCACCCTCCACCAGCACACCTTGCCTGACCTGACCGCCAGAGGGTTCCGCCCTCCTCACCACCTGTACCAAACTCTGCAGTCCTCAAAAGAAAACCTGAAGTGTGAGGAAAACTACCAAGAAGGGAGGAAGATCAAGAGGGAATCCAGAGAACAGAGGAAACTTAATTGGACACAGATATTAATTGAGTGCATGTGTGTAATACAATTGTTTATATTGTGTTTATATATACATGGCCTATATATATATACTCTCATATATATTTACACACACTCATATATATACACACTCATATATACACATACACACACACACACAGAGTCATGTGCCATATAATAACATTTTGTTCAGTGATGGACACAGTCATTGTCCTATAAGATTATAATGGCACTAAAAACTTTCTATTTCCTAGTGACATTGTAGTCATCCTAATGTCTTAGTGCAATGCAATTACTCATGTGTTTGTGGTGATGCTGGTGAAAGTAAACCTACTGCACCGCCAGTCTCATAAAAGTATAGCAATACAATCACATACAGTACCAAATACTTGATAATAAAGACTAAGTACTTGATAAAGATGATGTCACTAGCTTACGTATTTACTATACTTTTTATTTTAGAATGTACTCCTTCAACTTATAAAAAAAAAAATAGTTAACTGTAAAATAGCCTCAGGCATTCCCTTAGGAGGTATTCCAGAAGAAGGGCTTGTTCTTTATATATATATTTAATGTTCTGACACAGGGTCTCACTCTGTTGCCCAGGCTTAAGTGCAGTGGGCGATCTCAGCCATGCTTCAAGCATGTCATGGCCCCCGAAAACCTTTCAGTAGACAAGTTATGGAGGTGAAAGGTGGTGATATTGATGATCCTGAGCCTGTGTAGGCCTCGGCTAATGTGTGTGTTTGTGTCTTCATTTTTTTCTTTTTTTGAGACAGGGTCTTGCCCTGTTGCCCAGGCTGGAGTGCAGTGGTGTGAGCTCAGCTCACTGCAACCTCCACCTCCTGGGCTCAAGCAATCCTCCCACCTCAGCTTTCTGAATAGCTGGGGCCACAGGTGCACACTGCCACATCTGGCTAACTTTTGTATTTTTTAGAGAGATGGAGTTTCACCATGTTGCCCAAGCTGGTCTCATACTTCTGGGCTCAAACAATCCTTCTGCCTCGGCCTCCCAAAGTGCTGGGATTATAGGTGTGAGCCACCATACCTAGCTGTGTCTTAACTTTTAACAAGAGAGTTTAAAAAAGGTTTTTTATAAAGTTTTTAAATAGAAAAACAAGCTTAGAGTATTAGAATATAAAGAAACAAAAGACTTTGTGTTTGTGTTTTAAGATGTTACTACAAGAGTCAAAAAGTTATAAAAAATTTAAAAGTTTGTAAAGTAGAAATGTTACAGTAAGCTAAGGTTAGTTTCTTATTGAAGAAAAAACTATTTTTTATAAATCTAGTGCAGCCTAAGTGTATGGTGTTTCTAAAGTCTACGGTATTCTACAGTAATGTCCTGGCCTTCACATTCACTCACCACTCACTGACTCATCCAGAGCAACTCCCAGTACTGCAAACCCTATTCACGGTAATGGTCTTATCCAGCTGTCCCATTTTTCATCTTTTAGACTACATTTTTGCCGCATCTTTTCTACGTTTAGATATATGTGGATAGACAAATACTTACCGTTGTGTTATAACTGCCTGCAGTATTCAGCACAGTAACATGCTGTATGGGTTTGGGTCCTAGGAGCAGTAGGCTGTCCCATACAGCCTAGATGTGCTGGAGGCTTCGCCATCTAGGTTTGTGTCAGCACACTCCATGAAGTTTGCAGGATGACAGAATCACCTAATGAGCATTTCTCAGAGTGTATCCCTGTTGTTAAGTGACAAGTGACTGTGTATACACACACACATGCACACACCACACACACACACTATAGGAAGATACAGCTTTAAAATGACAAGGGACTGCTATGTAAAAGGAGTCTTAGAGAAATAGAATGTGTTCTTGGAATTCTGAAACATGATAAATGAAACATGAGCCAGAGGTTAGAGCAGGATAATCAATCGGGAATGGCTGAACACCAAGTTGCAAATCTGGAAGTTAAGCCGGGGAAATCTCTCAGGACCTACATGAAAAAGACATAAATGGAAACTCACAGAAGAACCGGAGCCAGAAGCTATGGCCAGTGGTTACCTCAGTGGAGTGAGAAGGCCTGTGATTTCACTGAGGGCCCTTCTGAACCATGTGAATTTCTTCCTTCACCACGTGCAGACATCAGTTAATAGGCACAAGTTAAAGCTGCATGCTCTGCTGATGGCTGCCGTGCTGATGGCTGCTGGGGAGACTCCACACGGGAACTCTCGAGCAGGCGCGGCGCAGTTCTCGCGGGTTCTCCTTGAATGCTGGGGAGGCTCCACACGGGAACTGTCAGGCAGGCGCGGCGCAGTTCTCGCGGGTTCTCCTTGAATGCTGGGGGAGGCTCCACACGGGAACTGTCAGGCAGGCGCGGCGCAGTTCTCGCGGGTTCTCCTTGAATGCTGGGGAGGCTCCACACGGGAACTGTCAGGCAGGCCGGCGCAGTTCTCGCGGGTTTCCTTGAATGCTGGGGAGGCTCCACACGGGAACTGTCAGGCAGGCCCGGCGCAGTTCTCGCGGGTTCTCCTTGAATGCTGGGGAGGCTCCACATGGGAACTCTGGAGCAGGCGCGGCGCAGTTCTCGCGGTTCTCGTTGAATGCTGGGGAGGCTCCACACGGGAACTGTCAGGCAGGCCGCGTTGCGGCCGAGCTTCCACGGATGCAGGCGGCGCAGTTCCGGTTCCGTTGAATGCTGGGGAGGCTCCACACGGGAACTGTCAGGCAGGCCCGGCGCAGTTCTCGCGGGTTCTCGTTGAATGCTGGGGGAGGCTCCACACGGGAACTGTCAGGCAGGCGCGGCGCAGTTCTCGCGGGTTCTCGTTGAATGCTGGGGGAGGCTCCACACGGGAACTGTCAGGCAGGCGCGGCGCAGTTCTCGCGGGTTCTGGTTGAATGCTGGGGAGGCTCCACACGGGAACTCTGGAGCAGGCGAGGCGCAGTTCTCGCGGGTTCTCCTTGAATGCTGGGGAGGCTCCACACGGGAACTCTCAGGCAGGCGCGGCGCAGTTCTCGCGGGTTCTCGTTGAATGCTGGGGGAGGCTCCACACGGGAACTGTCAGGCAGGCCCGGGGCAGTTCTCGCGGGTTCTCGTTGAATGCTGGGGGAGGCTCCACACGGGAACTGTCAGGCAGGCCCGGCGCAGTTCTCGCGGGTTCTCGTTGAATGCTGGGGAGGCTCCACACGGGAACTGTCAGGCAGGCCCGGCGCAGTTCTCGCGGGTTCTGGTTGAATGCTGGGGAGGCCCACGGGAATCTGGGCAGGCGAGGCGCGTTCTCGCGGGTTCTCGGTGGGGGAGGCCCACGGGAATCAGGGGCCGGGCAGTTCTCGCGGGTTCTCGTTGAATGCTGGGGGAGGCTCCACACGGGAACTGTCAGGCAGGCCCGGCGCAGTTCTCGCGGGTTCTCGTTGAATGCTGGGGAGGCTCCACACGGGAACTGTCAGGCAGGCCCGGCGCAGTTCTCGCGGGTTCTCGTTGAATGCTGGGGAGGCTCCACACGGGAACTGTCAGGCAGGCCCGGCGCAGTTCTCGCGGGTTCTCGTTGAATGCTGGGGGAGGCTCCACACGGGAACTGTCAGGCAGGCCCGGCGCAGTTCTCGCGGGTTCTGGTTGAATGCTGGGGAGGCTCCACACGGGAACTGTCAGGCAGGCCCGGCGCAGTTCTCGCGGGTTCTCGTTGAATGCTGGGGAGGCTCCACACGGGAACTGTCAGGCAGGCCCGGCGCAGTTCTCGCGGGTTCTCGTTGAATGCTGGGGAGACTCCACACGGGAACTCTGGAGCAGGCGAGGCGCAGTTCTCCTTGAGTGGAGTAAGCTGGGAGTCCAGGCTTGTTTACCGTTTCCCTCTGTTCTCTGGGAGTGGACAGTCACTCTCGTGGATGGATCATACCTATTACACGAGCCGCCCTGGGATAACTCACCGTGTCCCTTCTGTCTCAGAAGGTCTGCCTTGCCTTTGCCCGAGTCGTGGGGCGTTTGGGATTCAGCCAGTCTGCAATGCTGACTGCGGAGGAGGAACCATGTGACGTGGTTGGAGCCGAGGTGTTGAGCAAAGCCTCATCTGTCTGGACAAACTTCAGCCCTCGCAAGGAAGCAAGCAGTGCCCAAGCTTCTGTGCCATGCTTTGAATGGGCAGAGGTCAGTCTGACAGCGACAGTGTGAGAACGGTGTGCAGCTGGGCCTGGGTGGGGAGAGGGTGCCCGTCCTCCATGAGTCTAAGTGGAGTGTACCCCTCCGACTCGCACATTCACTTACTCCTCTGTCACCGGTTGGTGCACGAAGGCAGTACAGTCTCCTGAGTTTTACAACACCAGGTCCATCGTTTAGCTGTCCTTGTTTTTAAGTGGGAGTGAAGTTCACTCTTCTAAGTTCCAGGGAGGGAGTGAGGAATTCCAGCATTAGGTGTGGCCCCGGGAAGAGGGGCTGGGAGAATTTGAAAATGGGGAGTGCGGTAGGCTGACTTGTAACATGGTTCCCAACGTCCCCACCCTCGTGTACATGCTCTGAATAGCATCTCTCCTTGAGTGTGGGATAGTCCTGTGAAGACAACACGGTTTCCGTGTGAACAGGCAAAAAGGGACTTTGCAAATGTGGATCAGGGAACTGAAGGTCCCTGATCAGTTCACTTTGAGTCAATAAAAAGGAGATTATCCTGAGTGGGCTTGACCTAATTGGGTGATCTCTTAAAGGAGACTTGAGAGGCGGCAATAGACATCCTCCTGCTGGCCTTGAGGAAGTCAGGTGCCATGTTTTGCTTTTTTCTTTTTGTCCTTTTGTAGAGACAGAGTCTCACTATGCCACCCAAGCAGGTCCAGAATTCCTGGCTCAAGCGATCCTCCTGCCTCTGCCTCTGTGAATATTGGGAATACAGGTGTGAGCCGCTGCCCTGTCATATTTTGATTGACACTCTCCAAACCTGAGAGTGGCCTCTGGGAGCTCGGAGTGACCCCTGGCTGACAGCCAGTGAGAATATACAGACCTCAATGTTACAGCCCAGCTGGATCCTGCCAAGCACCAGTGAGCTGGAAGAGGATCCCCAGCCTCAGATGAGCCTGCAGCCTGTGCTGATGCCTGGATTTCAGCCTGAGAGACTCTGAGCAGAGGACTCCGCTCAAAGCTGTCTGGAGTCCTGATCCGCCAGAACCATGAGATAACAAACAGGCACTGTTTAGGTGGCGAAATGTGGTTACATGGAAATAGGAACCCAGTGCAACATGAGATGCCCCGACATATCAAGGGCAGTTCATGAGTGGGTGCCTTCAGCTTGGGAGGAACCAGACAGGGCTGATGCATCACGGTGTCCACATATGCAGGGAGGTTGGTTTGCTAGGAAACCTCCCGATGAGGAAATTGTTGGGAATGTACTACAAGGCGCTACCCAGCTCTGGAGCCAGACAAGAGGCCGGAGCATCCGCCCCAGCACGGCTGGCTGTGTGAGCCTCAGGAATGCTGGCAGCTCTGCAAGACTCTCTGCCATCTGCAAAAGGTGGGTGAGCATATCCCCCCCAGCCACACAATTCTTGGGGAATGGAGTGAGACAATTCTTAGAAAGCTCTAGTTGCAGTGCTGGTGCACAGGAAGGGCTCGGTGCACACTGATGCATGTTGCTGTAGCTCAAAGGTTCCCTTCAGCAACCAGGGTGTGATCTCCCAGTGCACCCACCTGCCGGTCTCACCTGGCCTGGGCTCCGAGCAGGGGTCAACCTGAGGGCATTTCACTCCAGATCCAGCATGGGTTTGAGGAAGGGGCCAATGAGGGGCCGGTGGCCACAAAATAGCACTAGATTCTGATCATAAGCCGAACCACTAAGAGGCGGGTAAAAAGAAACGCATGACCCATTTGACAAAATTTCTTTGGAGAATGAATACAAATACTGGGTTACGACGAGGGCTTGGCTAGCTGGCTAAAGGTAGGGATCCAAATAGAGGGGGCTGAATGGAGGTGAGAAGCCTGTGGCCATTGCTGGGGCATGGGCAGGGTTTTATACACGTGAGGGGGGCTCCATGGTGTTCACCTCCAACCAGGGTCAGTTGCTGGCCTGGGCTGACTGTGGTGACCACAGGTCGGGATATTGGGAGGGACTGAAAACTATGACACAAAGCGGAACAAACCCGCCACTCCGAAACCTCACACACGGCAGGAAGCGGGCCAGCCCGAGCCACTGGAGGGAGCTGTGGCCGGGCACACCCTGTCCTACCTGAACCCAGAGTGTCAAAGACAGACAAAGCCAGGCAGTAGTGAGAGGGTCAGGAGAGATTTCCACAGCAGTAACTGTTGAAGTGGGGAAGAGGTTGCAGTGTGGACTGAAGTCAGCTTGGATGTGTACAGAAGTGAGTGGATGTTTCCAAGGGAGGAGGGAGGAGGGAGGGGTGAGGGAAGGCTTGCTGGAATCAGGAAGTGAGAAATTGCAAAGCCCAGGAAGGAGGGGCTGGCCCCACTGGGCTGCTAACTGGCACTCGAAGTTAGCTCCAGATGTCCCACAGAGGCCTGGAGACGGGCCGTAGCTGCAGGTATTGGCTGGAACAGGGAATTTTTTGGCAGCCTTGAGTTTCCTGAGGTAGGGACTATAAATAAGTGGGGCTGGTGTCGTTCTAGGGCTGTGGCCATGAGCTGCTGGATGCCGTGTTAGTGTTAACTGACGTCTTGATAGGCCAGGGTGGAGGCCTTGTTGAGAAGAGGGCTCAGAGGAGCCTGGCTGGAGGTTGGTCGAGGAAACATCTTAGTCTAGGGCCCCACACAGCCCAGGTTCCAGGGATGTGGGTCCTGGCCAAGTATCCCATGGACTCCTGTCATTGGCTCACTCGAGGGGGCTTCGGGGACTCACCGCCAAAAAACCCGAGATGCCAGCCTCAGGATGTGAGGGTGTCACATCTGTGCTCCACAAAGAGTCCAAACAACCTAAGAAACAGCTTCGTGATCCCCATAATGAGCAAGCCTTTTAATGTCAGGACAGCTGCAAGCCCTTCTTCAAGCTCTTGGCCTCACCTGTCTTCCTTATAACCACAGAAGAGGTCACTCCTCTTCTGATTTGCCTTCCATGCTGTGCCGTTCCACCTGAGGCAATCTCGTGAAGCCTTCCACGTGGTCCTCCTGGGTCAGCTCACCCTCATGACCCCTGGGCTGCAGGCCACAGCTCTCCCTGGCGGACCAGGAGGCTGGCATGCCATCGTGGGTAGAAAGTGTCTTTTACCTAAGTCATCATTCATTAACTCCAGTTACATTAGAGATGCTTCCTGCCAGAAAACTTTCAGAATCATCTCTTTTGGAGAAAAAGGTATGCGTATTTTTGTTTTTTTTTTTTTGTTTTTGAGACAGAGTCTCACTCTGTCACCTAGGCTGGAGTGCAGTGGCGCGATCTTAGCTCATCGCAAGCTCCGCCTCCTGGGTTAACGCCATTCTTCTGCCTCAGTCTCCTGAGTAGCTGGGACTACAGG